TCTCTTCCATAATGGGTGGCATCATGGAATGTTGAATGAGCTTTTACTGCTGGGCTTCCGGAATGAGAATTTTGTCCTCTCTCATAAGCCACCCTGTGCTTTGTTCTGTATATCCCTGACTCTTTGCGTCCTCCTGTTCCAGCAGGGGGTTCTGTGGCTGGCCCGGGAACTCATGGTGGTAATCTGAGCTGGCTCCTGAGCTCAGGTGGCCTGTTTAAACAGCTGATTGGGGGCGCCTGGGTGGCTCAGTCCCTTAGACGTCTGCCTTTGGCTCAGGTCATGATCCCAGGATCCTGGGATCAAGCCTGCCTCGGGTTCCCGGCTCAGCGGGGAGTCTGCTTCTCCCTCTCCCTAAGGCTCCCCCGGCTTGTTCTGTCAAATAAATTAATTAAATCTTTAAAATAAGTAAATAAACAAACGAACAGCTGATTGGTCAGCCTTATTACTTTCCTCGCTGACAGAGGTCCCATCTCTTTGACAACTTTCACAATGGACTACAGCCACCTGATTGGGAAGTTGCACTGTCTTTAGGAGGGTGAAAATTGGGTCCTAGTGTTTTATTGGTGAATTCGTCGTTAACATTCCCCTTTCTTTCCAGATGGCAGCATGGGGCATATGGTACAGGGAACCCATATTTTGAATCAGTATAGAGACTTCATCTTTTTCCTTCTCCCAACTGTGAGGCCTTAATTAGGGCTATCAGTTCAGGCTTTGGGTTGGGCGGAGTGTTGAGGTGGAAGAGCTCAAGCCTCCAAGACTCTACCTAGGCTCATTATCATGGAGCCGGCCTTCCAGACACCTCCCTCCGCAAAACTTCTCCCGTCCCTAATCGACACCCTATCTGGATGGTCAAGGCATTTGTCTTGAAGATCAGGTCTGCTAGAATATGTCTGTTCCATTGTCTCCACACCCGGATGCTGGAGACCCTCATCTTCTGCAGATGGGAGCAGGGTAGCAGGGTTTAGTCTGGCATACTTTTAAAATAACATCTGGGAATCTAGCAAGAGGGCCTGATACTTCGTTAGCCTTCCTCCAGTCGGCCAATGGTGCCCTTTACTTTCTAATACTGTCTGAACCTGATGGGGAGTTACATGTTGACTCAGGGTCAGCTTAGAGGCCTCACTCACTAAGAGAGCTGGGCTATGCCCGTGCAACTGGATCCAGTTATTTTGAAAAATAGGCTATCAGTCTCTGATCAGGGCCCAGCTTTTGAGTTAGGACCCTCAAAGCAATCCCCTGCTTCTCATGGACATAGAGGTAAATTGGGGAGCCCCAGTACCGGGGCCCCACCCAACTCAGTTTTCAAGGCTTTAAAAAGACCCATTGACATCAGTCTGTTGTAGGGGTCCCCTCCCCCCCCCCAAAGGGCCATTAGGCCATAATTAGGGAATCAGATGCAACAGGGCTCTGCCATATCCAGAAAGCCACAGAGTCACTTTCTAGTTTGGGGAATGGGCAAGGCGCTGATGGTCCTCTTGGGATCCATGGCCCAGTGTCAGGATGAAGCCCAAATACTGGCCCTGTTGTTCTGATACGTGGGCTTTTGATGGGGGAACCCTATATCTTCTCTTAGTAGAAAATTTAAAGTTTTTACAGTATTCTGGTCAGAGGCCTGCTTGGTCAAACTGGCTATTAACCAATCATCAACATATTGTAAGAGGATCCCATGTCTCACTTTTAATTCCTGTAACTCTCTTGCCAGTACATTTCCAAATAGATGGGGGTGGTCTCTAAAGTCCAGGTGTACTAAGTAGTCCTTTGAGTACAAGGGGTTTTTCATTCAAAGACAAGTAAATATTGACTTTCCTCATGAAGAAATATGCAGAAAAAGGCATCCTTCAGGCCCGGGACAGTGGAAAACTGAGCATTGCCAGGAACCTGGGTAAGCAGAGTATACCGGTTGGGTACTCTTGGGTGTATGGGAACAACTCCTTTATTTACAGCCCTCAAATCCTGTACAAAGTAAAATTCTCCACTGGGCTTCCTCACTGGGAGGTCTGGGGTATTATGGGGATTGACAAGGCTTGATCAGTCCATACTTGAGAAATTTTGAAAATAACCGCTGGATTCCTCTGAAAGATTTACTTTTTATGGGATACTGTTTTTTTCCAAGGACAGCATGCCCTGGGTTTTAACTTTATATGAAGGGGGAGACATTTTTTGCCTCACCCGGACATGAGTACCCCACACAGATGGATCCCCTTGGTTTTGTGTTCAGAGCAATATTTGAGGGCCCAAACCTGGGACCATCCAGTGGTGCCGGGGAGACGAGAGTGTGGGGGCAGTGGGCACCCAGGTCGGGCTCAACCCACCAGAGGGTCCTCCAGGGACCCTGCAGGGGACCAACACCGGGGAGGTGAGAGTCTGGGGGCAGGGGACGCTCGGCCCCGGAACGCGGGACCAGAAAACCTCCTTCCACCGGAGAAATTCAGGCCGAAGTGAAGACGGAGAGGCAAAACGAAGCGAAGCCGTCCTCGGGGCCTGACAGGAGGGGCAGAGTCGCTGAGGCCAGAAGCAGAACTTACCGCCGCCGAGACGCCGAACTAAAGCGCCAGGCCGCTCATCAGTCCCAAGGGTCGGAGGGGCTCCATCCGCCGTCCGCCGTCTCCGGGTCCTCGGGGACTCACCGGGGCTCCCTCTTGGGGTCCCTGCGTGGTGGCCGGAATACGTTCCCGACCCCAGGGCTCTTTGGCTCTCAGCGCAAACAGAAACTGACATGAGGCCAAGAAAGATGCACGCAGCGTTTATTGGGGGCTGACTCTGGGAGCAGAAGTCCCGGCCGGCTTCCGGAACCACGGCGCTCTGCAGAGGGCCTGAGGCTGGAAAGAAGGGGCGCCCCGCTCGCACGGGCGCCGAGCCGGGCAGCTGCGCGCAGGCGCAGTGGGTGGCACAGGCTCCTACCTGCCCCGCGCGTCTCATTTGCATGTCAAGTCTCCACCCACGGCCGCGAGCGTCGGGACTGTCGCGAGAGTGGGTGAGGGGTCGGGGCTGGGGACCCCCGCGGCACAGGCTGGCTTAGTCCGGTTTCTTCGGCAGAGTTCCTTCTGGCAAAGATCCCGCTTCCGCTTTCCTATGAGATATACTGCCCAAAAAAAGAAAAAACCACGATTGCTCAGCCTTTTCTTCTAAGGTGACACGCAGGGAGCCATGGGCTTTGTGGTTAGGGCGGGGGTGGGGGTCCAAACACAGCCTCTGTTCTATCTCGGGACCACTTTTTTTTTTTTTTAAAGATTTTATTTATTTGAGAGAGAGAGAATGAGAGATAGAGAGCACGAGAGGGAAGAGGGTCAGAGGGAGAAGCAGACTCCCCGCTGAGCAGGGAGCCCGATGCGGGACTCGATCCCGGGACTCCAGGATCACGACCTGAGCCGAAGGCAGTCGCTTAACCGACTGAGCCACCCAGGCGCCCTCGGGACCACTTTTGATGGCAAAGTTAGGAAGGGTCTCCTGGAGGAAGTGATGGTTTTGGGGAGACCTGAGGAGTAGGAAAGAATCAGCACATTTGGGGGCCATCTGCCCAGGGCCCCCGCGTGACTCACCTCCTCCTAACCCCACTCATCCCCCTTCTCATTTCCCCTCTTAAGTTGGTTTGGAGGAATTTAAATGCCTATCCCAAGTGTTTGATTTTATTTTATAAGCGATTTCCCACGGTATACCCTCCAAGCCCACCCCCAACCCCTCCCTCCACCAACACTCGCTGGCCTCCTTCTCAGGATGAAGGTCAGGGTTGAGTTCGGCATAAGTGAAAGCGTCTAAAAGATATACAAACCTGCTCAAAACTTTATTGTACGGAATGCTGAAACACTGCAAAGCTGTAAGTTGCTTAAAATCAGCATAAGAGTTATTAGCAGCAAAGGGAAGCTGAAGGGACTGCCTTTTAGGAAGACTCCATTTCTGCTGTTTCTCCGGTAGGCCCCATGTACTCATGTTCTGTACTTCACCTTGCATCTGAGGAAACCAGAGAAGCTCTGTTCCCACTCCAAGAGGGAGGCAAGAGAGTGCATCAGTCTGAGTTTCCTCCTAGGCCCCCATACGCCTGACAACATCTGAGAAGAACTGGGCCGAGCATGTTTCAGGACACTAGCTTCCAACAAACCTTGGTTTTCACGGGTGTCCACATCCCTGACCTTTGGGGTTTTATAGAATAACACCAGTTGCCTTTGATTGGACCCTACCTGGATTCCTTAAAGAACATGCACCCTGGACCCTTTTCCAGTATAAACCCCTAACAGACACTCCCTTCTCTGAGTCTCCCAGACTCTCTGTCAGCTATAGTGTATCACTTACACTATTCAGTTTACTGCTCTCACTTTTTTTCCTGGCTTGCCTTTGATTTCTATGCTGCTCAAAGCCCAGGGCCCTCTTGGCGGGTCTTTGGATCCACTGGGTCTTCAGACCTGGCCTGCCTAACTCATGAGCAGCACTGGTTTCCCAACTGGACTTGCAGACCTGTGCTTTTGGTTAAACCTGTACTGTAACAAGAGAACCAAATATAAAAACAACACATACATGTTAATAACCCAGTCTTCCATCTTACCAATCAGCTATTTCAGTGCCCCATACTTTCCAGAAGGTGTCCATGTGTCACTGCTGTAGTTTTTAAATACTTTTTTTCAGCCCACTTTTTACAGTTGGATTACTACCACCTGCCACATTTCTCAATAAAATTTATTTTGCCTTGGAAACAAGTTATTTTCATAAAACATGTTTTTTATTAACTTACAATGGGTTTATTATTGCTATTTTAATATAAATTATAAATACATTTTCAAAATGACTGTTTCCATCTTCAATGCCATAAATATTGACAGATATAACCCAAATGCCCTTTGGGGTCCTCAATAATTTTCATTTTATTTATTCATTTTTAAAGATTTTATTTAGCGAGAGAGAGAGAGACAGAGCAGGGGGAGGGGCAAAGGGAGAGGGAGAGAGAGAATCTCAAGCAGACTCTGTGCTGAGCGCGGAGCATGCAGGGGCTCGATTTCACACCCCTGAGATCGAGACCTGAGCCAAAACCAAGAGTTGGGACACTCGACCGACTGCGCCACCCAGGGACCCCTCTCCATGACTGTTAATGTCTAAAGGCAGCCTGAGGTCAAAACGTGGGAAAGTGCTGCTTTCCCCACTGAACCTGAACCCGGGTATCCACCTGGTTCAGTTCTCACCTGCTCAGCTAGGACCTTAAACCTCAGGCCACACTCAGTAACTGAGTACTGACTCCCAGTTTATTGAGGGGACACCTGAGCCAGGCCGAGATGTGTCTTCATCCTTCTCCAGCTCAGTTCTAGGCTGGGAGGGCTTTGCTGTGTGCTCTGGAAAGCTCAGGGGAGGGGTGGAAATGGATCCTCAGCCCCTGTGCCCCTTGGCTGTGATGCCGAGGCTCCCACCTCCCTGGCAGCTTCCTCTGTCCTTGACCTCCAGCAGTGGCTTCCCTCCCCTCACAGCCTGCTGTGTCCAGATGCCCTCACCTTGAGTCCACAGTGTCTGACATCAACCTGAGCATCAGGCTCAATGTGTCACTCTGATGGGAAAGCCTGTCACTTTCACACACTCTTCATGGGTGGGAGCCATGTGGCGGCCCCTCTCTGAGGCCAGACCCTGCCCCGTGGTTCCCAGCAAATGAGTTACTAAAGCAACAGCCTAATGAGGGGCGGATGGGGCTGGGTCTGAAGAGGGTGTTGGAGGGGCCTCTGGAGGAGGTTCTTCCATGTGTCCACTGGGAAGGAGGGCCTGTTTCCTTCCAGGGTGCTGTGCTGTGGTAGCAGAGATGGCCAGGGCTTCTCTACTTGGCTCTGAGGCCAGGGCACTGTTCGTGGGGGCTGTGACTGGTCCCTGTCCTGTGGAGGATCAGGCCGCCCTCGGGCACCAGGATCCCCCGCGCCCCTGTGAAGGCTGGGCAGATGAAGAGGGGGCTGTCATCAGACCCCAGCCTGAAGAAGGGTCTCAGGGGCCCAGAAAAGGGTGAACGGGGACATGTGTAGATGTGTGATCTGTCCCTCATGTTATAGAAGGAGATATCTCCAGCTTCATAGTCCAGGAAGACACCCACCCGACGAAGACGCTCTTTCAGGGGAAGAATCCTCTCCGGGGAAGACAGGACCCGGTACTGGTTTCCAAACATCTCCAGGGTCCAGAAGCCATTCTGGGGGACCAGGAGGGCCTCCCCTTTCCTCTCAACACTGTCTCTGCAAACCCCCACAGCCCACACCATCACGTTTTCAACCTCAACCTCCCAGTAATGCCTCCCTGAGGAGAAGCTCTCCAGGCCCAGGACACAAGGCCGGCAGTCGAATCTCTTCGGGTTGTCGGGGACACTCTGCCTGGCGGGGCCTCTTCTCACGCTTCTCCCGTCCTCCGTCAGGAAGAGCTCGGGATGAGCGGTGTCCGGGTCTAGGACCACGTCAGCTGCAGAAGAAGTCTCCGGTTTAGGCCTGGGGTCTCAGGAGATGGTGCTATTCTGGACCCCAGGGAGGTCCCAGAAAGGTGGTGGGAAATCCCTGTGTGGTGGCCTTTTCCATGAAGGGCCCTTGATCCCAATTCCCAGGCGGCTAGTTCACAGAACTCCTGAGGCTGCACTTCTGTCTCCTGGGTGACAGGAGACTGGCCTCAGATAGGGGATCATCAGGGGTCTAAACATGTGGAAAGTTTAGCAAAGGAACCAAAATTCATGGCTCCTGCTTTCTCTCAATTTTCTCCGCTCTGCCCCCTTTTCTATTTAAGACATACGGTCTCTGGGACTCTCTTTAGTTAGGAACGTCCCAATTTGGTTTAAACCAGCAAAGAGGCCCCTCCTGCTCCCTCTCCCAGTGAAGCAATTAATGCCAATTTTCCTCTGCAGATTCCTGGGTAGTAAAAGTTCCTTTCATTGGTTCTCCGGATTCCACCAGTTTCACCAGGTGACAACTGATTTAAATGACTCCCAAGGGCCCCCTTTCCCAGGGGAAAAAAGGGGGGGTCACATCTCCACAACCTGCTTCTGTGTTAACAAAATGGGTCTGACGCCTACGTCTCTGCCCTCTCTGGATGTAGGAAAGGCTTCAGACCCCTGACATTCTGCAGATCTCCCACCTACAGTTACTACTCAACTGGTCCACATTTCTGTCGTGTGAACCTGATTTTCTCCTCTCCCCACGTTGTTGATATGTCTGACTCTGACAGTTTTGAAATTCACCTAAAGAGGAAAGGTTCGAGTACCACGGTATCTGGTAAAGCCGGGATTGCTTGGTGCTTTTGAGCAGAAGGGGAGAAATCATAAGATGCAAAGTGCTCATTAGGATGAGGAATTTGGATCCTATGCTCTCTCTCTTGACCAACGCCCCTCCCCTCACAGGCCATTCCCAGAGCATCAGTGTTCCCCGGGAGCAGAGAGGTGTTTCCAGCCGCCTAAGCATCCACCCTTGAATTGGGTGTGGGGAAGCTTATTGCTTTTCCATCATGTGGTTCTCCAATTGTGCAGTCTATACCATCTCCCAAATTAATCCAGGATCCAAAGAGCAACAACTCCTAAAATGTAAATGTATGGTAAAGCTCTGGTAATGATAGATAAAGTTATGCTAAACAAGAGGACATCCTCAGGAGCCGTGGGGATTCCCTGATGGCAGAGCTGGGACCCAGTGCTGCGGTGAAGCGCACCCCAGCCCCCCCGCCTCCCAGCGCCCCCTGCCCATCTCCTCTAATACGCCCCGCTGGCTGGCCAGGGGGCAGAAGCCTGAGCTCAGAGGGCATGTCCACGGCGCTCACCGGCCTGTAGCAGGGCTCGTCTCCATCCTGCAACGGGACAGACACACAGAGGAGCTTCAGGAGCTGCTGGCTAACCGAGCAGAGTGCACACCTGCATGGACTACTTCAGGAAATGGTACACTTACGCAATTCTTCTTGAAGTTGCTCTGAAAAAGAAACAGAAACCAATTCAGGTCCTCAATAGAAGAAATCAGAGAATTTGAGTTTGTGTTGAACGAGGGAGGGTGGGTCCTTCGTGATCACCCCTGTCCCCCGCTGCCCCTGCCACTGGAACTGTCAAGATTCCAGAAACAATCGATGCACCCGTGGCTGGATGTTATCACTGCTTATTGGGTTTACGTTTGTTCAGCAGCATGGTGCTGAGTCCGCAGAACGGGAGCAAGCAGGCGGGAGGGTGAGTCCCTGGTTGCCACCGGTCCAGGCCCTTTGCTGTGGCCTCTGTTCGTTTCCTCCCTGTCCCCAGGCTTCTAGCTGCCAGAGCCGTGGCCCTGTGGCACCTGTCCTCCTACTCTTTTACCTTTGATGTGATGCTCTTTCTCTTCTTCCGCATGGTCTGTCTCCAGTTCCTTACATGCGATTTCCTTCTCTTCATTTTCAACCTCTTTTCCCCTGTGGAGTTTCCTGATGAGACAGATGCTCCCGGCGGTGAAAAGGAGCAGAGAAGGCAGGATGACAGCGAGGCCCACCGTCCAGGAAAAGGTGCCGGCAGCAAAGGATTCTGAAAAGGGAGCCAGGAGAGCCCCACTCAGTGAGAGCAAGGAGAGCCCGGAGAGGGTCCCTCACGATGCCCATGGGAAGGGCTCCCTGCTCTGTTGGCTTCACTCTCAGAAACCCCAGACAGAGACCCTGGCTCTGCACTGGCTCATCCCACAGGAATTGCCAGGGCTGGGGGCCCAGGAGCCAAAAAAGCGGGGGCCCCTGAGGCTACCATGGGAAGGACCAGGGTGAACACGGCTAACCGGCCACCCCTGAATCACCACAGCCACCACCCGGCACATCCCACCACCCCTTCTTGCCCGAAAGATTGCAATTCCCCGCTCCCTGCTTCGTCTATACCCTCTGCAGTCTGTCCCCTGCACAGCAGCCCGAGTGAGATCCTGTTACTTCTCTGCTCAAAACCCTGCAGTGTTTCCTATGTCACTCAGACTCCCTCAACAATCCTTGCCTGCGTACCAGCCACACCTGTCCCTTGGGGTTCCTTGAAGCTGTCTGACATGCTCCTGCCTCAGGGCCTTTGCATGTGCTGTTCCTGCTCCCTGGGTTGCTTGGTTCTCAAATATCTGCACGGCTCATTCCTCACTTGCCCAACTGCCATCTTTTCAGGTGAAGACCTCCCTGACCATCCTATTTATAATTACAACTCCCCCTTACCCCAGCACTCCCCGTCCCCTCCCCCAACTAAGTTTTTCTACAGTATTTACCTCCATCTGATATAATCTGCAGATTAATTATCTCACTTATTGCTCTCTGCCACCCTAGAATGTTAGCCCCATGACGGCAGGGATCTTTATGTATTCTGTTCACTGATTTATCTTCAGTCTCGAGAACAATGCCTTGAACATGGGTAGTACCTGTTAAGTATTTGTTGAATGAATTCGCGCATGATGTCTGTAGACAGAGAATCCCACCCACCCTTCCCTTGAGAAATGCCATGGGCAGGAAGGGAGAGATTCAGCAGGCAGCCCTCTGGGTGTAGTGTGCCACTTGGCCAAACCACTCTCCATTTATGATTGTTCTAAATGTTTTAAAAATGGCTGCAGGGGTGCCTGGCTAGCTCAGTCAGGGGAGTGTGTGACTCTTGATCTCAGGGTGTTAGGAGTTCAAGCCCCACCTGGGGGTAGAGATAACTTAAACAAATAAACTTAAAAAAAAAAATTTGCTGCAGGATAAGGACCGCGACAGAGAAAGAGCTCTCCGAGAAGACTTTGATTTTCCCCTCGAGGCAAGACAAGGGGGGAGTCCTCCAGCTCTTCGGGGCTCAGGGCCCTTCCACCCCACGCTTCTATCTCCCCATCCCTGTTCCAGGCTCTGTTCTGTCTGAGGACCCTGCTTCGGCGTGATGAGCCTCCAGAGGGCAGGGAACCAACCTGGGATGAAAATCACAGTTTCCTTCTCCTGGCCAAGCAGGGTGTTGCTGACGGAGCAGGATGTCTTCCTCACACAGCAGGGCCTGATGACCACGGACGTGGTGACCATGAAGAGGCCATCTGCGTCCACCGTGTAAGCCTCCTCCAGGGCCGGCATGATCGCACTGAGAGGATCCCTCCACACCGCACGGGGCTCTGGGAACCAGCCTCTGGACGTGCACTCCAGCCGCACACCTCCATCCTCCTGGCCCTTCATTTCGATGAGGGGCTTAGAGCCCAGGCCTGGGGACAGAGACCAGGGAGCAGCTAAAAAGGCAACAGCGCCCTAGCCTAAGTGTCTTAGATCAGCTCTCCACGGGGAGAGCCAAGGGGTGGAGGAAGGCAGCAAGGGGCCAGTGGCCGGAGAAGCTGGTTGTGCGTATTCCACGCATTCCCACGGTACCCCTTCTGAAAGGAGGGAGGAAAGGAGGGCTGGAGGAGAGGAAGGAAGAAGACCCTGGCATTGGGCAACATCAGGAGACCAATATGCCAATACATCATGAGGTCTCTGAGGGCAGGATGACCTTGCACTTGGCTTTGTGCTCCACCCGTGACCCCATCACAGTGACACACATCCGTCTGTCTCCTACCAAGTGACTGTTGATTGATTCATTCACTTAGAGGGTTTGGTTGTCTCACTTCTGGGTGAGTGCGTCTGCTCTGACCTGAAACAAGCAGGTTGCGGATTTCACTTTCCGTCCTGCGGGGACGTCTCAGCAGCGCTGGTCTCCCGAAGCTCGGGAATAATCCATTAAGGACAGAAGCCTGCTGGGCCAGGCAGAATCTTGGGAAACTTTTTGACCTCAAGACATTGTCCCTGCTCTCCCGGCTTAGGGCTGCACGTGACACAGGTCATCAGAAGTGGTTGTTCTTAGGAGAATGGACAGAACTAGAATATGCAGAACCAGCCTTTACCCCGGTTCAGAGACGTGTACCTCCCAGGGGCTCAGTCAGCCAGGGGATGTCCTGATATCCCTCCACAACATCTACCAGTTAGAAAGACCTGGGTGCTCCTGGGAACCTCAGGATAATGTATCACCTCCTCAATGTCAGCAGAACATCACAAAAAATCCTGACTCCAGGCTCTTCCCAACTTACTCTGTCTATAAAAGAATCTCTAATAAAAGAGAAGTCTGGTTCAAGACCTGTAAATGCATGGTCCTAGAAGACTTCTGCCCCTTCAGCCAGGGGTCCAGTGATCATCCAAAGTTCTTAATTAAATTAAATTTTATTTCAGAACAGCTCAGCAAAATAAAATTCCTGTTTATTATTGGACGACACTGTCTCACCCAAATTTCTTAAAAAAAAAAGATTTTATTTATTGGGGCGCCTGGGTGGTGCAGTCAGTTCAGCATCCAACTCTTGGTTTCGGCTCAGGTCGTTATCTCAGGGTCCTGAGATTGAGCCCTGCGTGGGCTCTGCACTTAGCATGGAGTCTGCTTGTCCCTCTTCCTCTGCTCCTACCCCTGCTCTCTCTCGCTCTCTCAGATAAATAAATCTTAAAATATTTTATTTATTTGAGAGAGAGAGAGACAGAGCAAGCACGAATGGGGGGCAGGGAGGGAGAAGCAGGCTCCCCGATGAGCAGGGAGCACAAGTGACGACTCCACTCAGGGCTGAATCCCAGGACCCTGGGATCAAGATCTGAGCCAAAGGTAGACGCTTAACCGGCCACAGGCGCCTCACATCCAAACTTCCTAATTCCTTTGTTAAGGCGATCCAAAAAATTAAAAGACAAATGAAAAGACGAAAGACAAAATTAAAGCAATCATATAAGTCTTAGCGCTACCAGCTCCATCTGATTTTTGCCAAGAAGAAATAAGCAAAAAACAAAAAACCCATTGCACACTGAAAGGCTCAGGCAGAAACTCTGAAGTGTGATAAGACTCAAAAGAATTCAGCAAGTTGGAGGGAAATTCTACAAAATGGGGTTCCACGGGGTTCAGTCAAGGCAAGTTTGAGACAATAGACTTAAGGACAAAATCAACCAGCCAATGAACCAAACAAACAAAAAACAATAAATAAAACAATTCTACAACTCAGTTCAGACTGGGGCAGGCCAGGCCAGGGTCATGTTTACAGGGAAAGAACAGAGGGTTCCTGCCACATACAAACCCATCCTGGTCAGCCGTGCAGTGCTGCTATGCACAGAGTCAGGACACCAGGGTTGAGAAACCCTCCTGCCACAATATTTCAATATGTTCTATTAATCACATACAAGGTTGCCCTTCTAGGTGACAAAGATGGCATCTCCTACCATCTGTGAATTGAGGCCCCCTGGGGAGGCCACCCTATCCTCTAAGCCTTACTTCCACTGGTCTGATCGACTGAAATGCCATTGATTTGGGTGTATCTTAAAGGCTCTTCCAGCCTTCAAACGTTTCTTTTAATAAGTCTATTGTCTATGAGAATGAATGAGTCTATTGTCTCAAACTTGCCCTGAGAATGAGGGCATATCTTAAAACCATTATTAATAAACTCCTAGAAATCCTGGTTTATATGCCACTTCTATTCTGAAGGCTTGCCCAAGTCCTCTGGTCAAATTCTCTTGTTTTCCTGTGGGGCCAACAGGCTTGATACTTAATCATGCTTTAATGAAATCATCTGGACAAGTCAATCACTCTCACTACGATTAGTATTTGGCGAAAGGGAAAAAAGGCAAAATTACTATCTATCAAGACAAGGGACATCCCTATGTTGTCCCCATGCGGTTACAGACAGTGGCCTTCTCACCCTCAGAGTGAGAGAGTAAGATGACAAAGTCTATGGTCCCCTCTCTGCACCCCCGGTGCGGGTGCTGAGCTGGGACTTCACGCGGGGTCCTCTGAGCCCCCGAGGGTTACGACTCACTCTCTCACTTCGTTCTGGTTGTGCTCGATTTCCATCCTGTCAGGGAAGCTATTCTCCCCCACCCCCGCACCCCTAACATTCTCAAGCCCTCTCTGCTTTATTTTCTCTATGGTGCGCACCACCATCTAAGATACAGTTTAATTAGATATTGTAGTGATTGGCTCTCTGCACTCTCTAGAACGTGGGCGCCGAGAGGGCAGGAACCTTGGTGTATTTTCTTCACTGCTTCCACCTCGGTTACTTGGAATAGTGACTTGAACATAGGAGTGGTTTGTGAAGTATTTGCTGAATGAACTTATGAATGTCTGTGATGCGAGGGGGCCCAAAGAGAAATTTTCCCACTCTGATTTTTTTTTTTGCCTTTTTAAATGTGTTTATTGAAAATTTAAAAATATGTGTGTGGCTCACATTTGTGGCATCCATTTTATTGCTAATGGACTGCACAGCTTTAGATTAACATCCCCATGTGTCATCCTGATTGCCTCCAGACTCTTGATAGTTTAAAACTCACTCTGAAATTTTTTTTTCTTTTTCTTTTTTCTAATGCTTTAACATTCTTTTTTTTTTTTAAGATTTTATTTATTTATTTATTTGACATAGAGAGACATAGCGAGAGAGGGAACATAAACAGGGGGAGTGGGAGAGGGAGAAGCAGGCTTCCCGCCGAGCAGGGAGCCCGATGCGGGGCTCGATCCCAGGACCCTGGGATCATGACCTGAGCCGAAGGCAGACGCTTAACGACTGAGCCACCCAGGCGCCCCCTCACTCTGAAATTTTGATATCAGCTATGTATTTGTTTTTCTTTCAGTTTATAACTATTTATTAAGCACCTACTAGGTGTCAAGCAATCTGCTCGATGCTGGAGATAGAGTGGTGAATAATTGCTGTTGTTTGTCAGATCCTGATGGGTTCTGGTTGTGATGTGGATAATAAAGCTTAAAAAAAAAAAAAAAAGTCCAGTAACAAAAGCCTGCAAAGGTACTCTCAGGGTACTCAAGGGTACTCAAAAATTTTCAGTTCCCCTGGGCACACAGTTGGGACTGTAGTTCCCCTCTCCTGTACCAGGAGGCATAACCATCCGACTTGGTTTGGTCAACGAAATACGAGTTTAAAGAACATGGAGCAGTCATGATTTGCCAGGCTCTCTTCCCCTCAGCTAAGGTGAACTGCAAAGCTCCAGATCCCTGAGCGAGATCCGTGTGGACTAGAGCCCCACCTGACTCATGAGGACATGTTTCACCTGTCAGAAATAGACCTTTGTTCTTTTTAACCTACTGGGTTCCGAGAGCTGCTTGTTACCAGAGCATCTCCTCGCATGTCCTGACCAACACACACATCAAAGACGATTAAAAACACGGCCTGACCACAGGCTCGGGGAAAAGGTTAAAAAAGCAGATCTCAGGCTCAGAATGGAGATGGCGGGATATGATGACCACTTACAGCTTTAGGGAGCAGATTCATCCATTCAGCTGCTATTTGTTGAGCAGTTCTTATGCCCCAGACTCTGTTCCAGACATGGGCTTGCAAAAGGAGCAAAACAGTAAACATCCTTCTAGCCGAAGAGACATAACATGCAGGATAAGTAAGTAAAATGCACATAGAAGGCTATGGGAGCCAAGGGGAAAAGGCAGGAAAGGGAGTGAAAAGGGTCCAGGATGGGGGTTGATTCTCCCAGTTGTGGGAAACAACTGACTAGAAAGAAGAAATGGGGGGGGGTGTCTGGGTGGGTTGGTTGGGTGGCTGCCTTCGGCTCAGGTCATGATCTCAGGGTCCTGGGATTGATCCCAGAGTCAGGCTTCCTGCTGGGCAGGGAGTCTGCTTCTCCCTATGCCTCTGCGCCACCGCGCCCCGCCCCCCGCTTGTGCTCTCTCGCTCTCTCAAATAAATAAATAAAAATCTTTTTTTTTAAAAAAGAAGAGATGGATTGAAATCAAATGCGAAAAACTTGTCTTTGGACTTGATGAAAAATGTATGGAGCATCATATGCTATTGGTAAGAGTGTATATTAGCACAAGCATTTTAGAAAACAAATTTATAGTATCTATTAGAGAGGAAGAGAGGGGCACCTGGGTGGCTCCGTTGGTTAAGTGTTTGCTTTCAGCTCGGGTCACGATCCCGAGGTCCTGGGATGGAATCCCACATCGGGCTCCCTGCTCAGTGGAGACAGCCTGCTTCTCTCTCCCTCTGCTGCTCCGCCTGGCTCATGCTCTCCCTCTCTCTCAAATAAGTAAATAAAATATTTTTTTAAAGATTTAATGTATTTTTTGACAGAGAGAGACAGCGAGAGAGGGAACACAAGCAGGGGGAGTGGGAGAGGGAGAAGCAGGCTTCCCGCCGAGCAGGGAGCCCGATGCGGGGCTCGATCCCAGGACCCTGGGATCATGACCTGAGCTGAAGGCAGATGCTTGACCGACTGAGCCACCCAGGCGCCCAAATAAAATATTTTTTTTTAAAAAGAGGAAGAGAAATATTTCTCATTATACAGCACTTCTAGGAACATGCTTCATTTGGGAAATTTGAGAATGGGCATGTTATGAACTGAAGTATGCTCCCCTCCATTCCTAACCTCCAGTACCTTAGGATGTGAAGAAGATACCAGTACATACAGAGAAAGATACCCGAGATGTGCCCACACAGAGAAAAGGCCATGTGAAGACACAGTGAGAAACTGACCATCAGCAAGCCAAGGAGAGAGGCCTCAGGAGAAGCCTGATCTTCCTTCAGAACCGTGAGAAAATACATTTCTGATGTTTAAGCCACTCTGTGGTATTTTGTCAGGAGAAGGCAGTGTTCTATTTGTTGATATGAGTAGTGGTCACATGGGTTATAGTTCATAGTGATTCAGTAATCTGTACATTGTTTTATAAGTTTTTCTGGATGTGTATTATAATTCACAATAAAATGTCTAATTCTAAAACGAGTCGCTGAGCAAGACCCTTGGAGATCTCTAAGTAAGCATGAGAATTATCTGTAGGAGTTAAACATTCTCTCTGGCTCAAGGCTACAGAGGAGTTCTGTGTGCGCTTCTCAGGAATTGATGCCTACAGTGTGGCAGGGCAAGCCCACTCATTTGGTCCTTGGGCAGGAGGAAGCCACCTTCCCTGTTTTAAAATCTGCTGGGCGGGGGCGCCTGGGTGGCTCAGATGGTTAAGCATCTGCCTTCAACTCAAGTTATGATCCCAGGGTCCTGGGATCGAGTCCCACATCGGGCTGCTTGCTCAGTGCAGAGCCTGCTTCTCCCTCTCCCTCTGCCATTCCCTCTGCTTATGCTTTTCTGTCTATCTCTCTGTCAAATAAATAAATAAAATCTAAAAAAAAAAAATCTGCTGGGCTGCGCTGGGCCTGAGGTTAGGAGAGAAACTTTCCTAAGGGTCACCCTGGAAAAGCAACCAAGGAAAATGAAAGGGCACACCTGCCACCATCAGGCGCACGATGGCCTCGTCGTAGGACCTGCCTTCTTGGAAGTAACAGTGGTAGATGCCGCGGTCGTGGGCTGTGACGTTGCGGATGACGAGCGCCACGCTCCCCGTGTTGATGTGTTCGCTCACAAAGGTGGTCCTTCCCCGGTACTCCTCCATCTGCTCCTGCGTCTTCTCTCGTCCGCCCTTATACACGAGCACCGCCCGGGAGAACTGCGCGCGGAACCAGCGCACCTCCATGCGCTGCGCGTCTTTCTCGGGCGACAGGTGGCAGTGGAACATGGTGTCTTCTCCCACCATGGCCAGGACTGGGTCAGCTGGCCCCACGACAGTAAACTGGGCTGTTCAACAAAGGAGCAGAATCAGACGGCGCGGCCGTCACAGATCTAAGGCAGGAAAGGAAGACGGTATTCGGGGGACAGAAGTAGTCTTTCTAAGGCCACAGGGGCTTCCTGAGCTGAGGCTGCTGGGGGCCGGTAGCTGAGGCTGGTTGGCAGCCACAGACAGCTGGTGGGGGTATCGAATGAAACTGCTAATACTTATTAAAAAGCGCATACTGAGGACCTCGTGCAAACCCTGGGCTTAGAGAGATTTTCCCTCTATCCCCCGATCTAGCGCAGGGCCTGGAGGGTAGGATACACTTGAGGGGTCCGTTGTGGTACCACCAGCCACGAGCTAGTCCCCACTGGAATGTGCTGTAAATGTAAAATACAGACAATTTGGAAATGTTAGAATAAAAAAATGTCAAATATCCCACTGTTCATATTTTACATCAATTGAAAGTTTAAATAACACTATTCTGGTTGTTTGGGGTTAAACAAAATGCATTGTTAAAATTTATTCCATCTGTTTCTTTTTGCAATTTTAAAGGTAGCTACTGAAAAACGTAAGACCGTACGCGCAGCCCTCCTGTGGCTCTCACTGGGTTTCTCCGCGCTGGTCTACATTCGGGGAGCGCGTGCAGAGTGCGAGCCGCGGGACCCCAGCCGCAGGACCTCACTCTTCCGCTCTGCAGACTGAAGTGTTGATCTTTGCCGTCCCAAGGGCCGGCAGGAACTCCAGGCAGGCGCCCCTACCTGAGCGCAGCGCAGAGCAGCTGAGGAGCGCGAAGGACAGGAGCGAGCCGGGCGCCGACACGCGCGGGGCAGCCTCTGGCTCCATCTGCGCCAAACACGCGGCTCCCGGGAGAGTCCGCGACCCGACGCCTGGGGGTACAGACGAGGAGGAATTTGGCACCAGCTCTGACCGAAGTCAAACTTTCCTGTGACCCGCACTGCGATCCTCAGCACCCCAACTTCTGTGATGAGCAGCGCCCTTCCTCTCCCTGTAGACTGACTCCTTAAACATTCCGCGGATAAGCCACAAGGCGATGATCCGGGAAGCAGCTTTCCGCCCTCCCCGGCTCCCTTCTCTGGCCAGAGTTGTTTCTTCAGGTGTCACTCGATCTTTTTCCATACGCTTCCTCGCCCCGCCTCCCCATCCTCCCCTGGAATCCCGCAGAGCTCAGGGAGGTGAGGGCAGGCGCGGAGAGCCGCCCCTCTCCCGGGAACCCCGCCTTCCACCGTCTCACTTCCCACCTACCGCCCCCACCCCCGCCCCCCGGTCCCGGAGACCTAGCGCGACCCTCCCTTTCCTACCTTCTCGAATTCACTTCTGCGTTTTATCTCCTCTGACGCTCAAATGAAGATTTTCCTGTTGTCCTTCTTCTCTCTAGTCTCATAATCACAATCGGAGAACAAAACGTCCTGAAAGCAAAGAAAAAAACCCTTTTCTTCGCCTCGCATTAGTCGCGGCGTGCGGGGCCCGGCATCGGGTCCACTGTGACCACAGAGTCCTTAGATGCCAATGAATTGTCTAGAGCCCAGGATTGGCCGGCTGTGGGTCAACCAGCCAATGGCATCCCCGAGCCTCCTTACTCACCAGTCACTAGGCAGAATACACACAAAGTTTAAAATCGCACAGCGGCGCGTAGCTTTTTGCGATCATCTGGACTTGTAAAATGTCCTTTTTTGTCATTTTCAGAAGCAGACTAATCCCAGGAGCGGCCTCTATGTGTAGACGGGATGAGTGTGTAGTGGCTGGAGTTGGGGGTTGGGGAGGCGATGAGGGAAACATAAGCGGCCCTACTTCCAAAGCCAGAAGAATCTGTTCCAGTCGCTGGGCTTGTGCGGGCGAGGGAGGGGAGAGGGAGGGGAGGGGGAGGGGGGGGGGGGGGGGAGGGGAGGGGGAGGGGAGGGGAGCTGGTAAGGAAGGAAGCAAGACGGCAGCGGCAGTCGCCATTACGGACGCCGTCATTCACCCGGAAACGGTTGAGTGAGGCACTGAGGACCGGAAGGCGCGCTCTAGTGGGGGCTGGAAGACGGCAGCCGACAAAGGCTTCTCGTTGGGCTTCATGGTCGGCTGGTGGTGGACGGTCTGGTTGAGCCCAACACCCCCTACACCCACACAGCGCCCCTCCCAGACCCCAATCCGGCCACTCTCGAGCTTCTAGAATAATCTTCCAACGCACATTTCTTAGTATTTCCCCCAACTGCTTACATGCTTCCTCGGGAGGCTTCCAAATCGTTCTGATTCACTTCAAAACTGCACTGGCCTTGCATCCCAGGGCTCAAAGTCCCGAGGCCCGCACCCCTTCCCCCCCCCCCGCCCCGTCGCTCTCCATTTCTGCCTCCGGAGCCCCGCCTAGCCTTCATGTCCCCGTCCTCCCAGAACAACACACGTTCCCAGAAGGGCGTGTTCTCAGACTCCTCCGACTCGCAGGCTCTGCCCGTTACTCCATCCTGTCCCACGTTCTTGTTGCCGAGGTGACATGAGTCCATCTTCGCAGGGACCGGAGTTTGTGCTCCCCGGGAGCAGATCCTTGCCCTCTGTGATTCCTCTCTCTCCCTTACAAGGCCCGGCCTGGGCTCTGCACTCGGCTGTTGTTCAGCGCCTGAGTGAGAAAGCTAAGTGGGAGGCCACCCCCAACGTTGTCCATCCACACATCTGCTTCAGTCCGATCTCCCGCCAGATCACCTACCTTTGCTTCTCTGGACCACACTGTGCATGAAAACTGCCCTCCCGAACCTCCCAGGCATACCTGCTACGGGTGTGACTGGTGACACAGTGCTGGGCCATTCAGTCAAAACGTGCAAAACTTGCCCTCCGGCCTGGTCTGGGTGGGGTGTCGGGGGGCAGCGGGACCACGGAACATGGACATGTATTGGAAGATGGAAGTCACGGCTGCTGCATGGATGGGGTGGAGGGGGGTGGTGACAGACCTTACCCGGCATTCCCTCCATTCTCCCAGGCGGAGCCTCGTAAAGAACGCTGTCAGTGTGCAATCCCATGTGCCCTTGGGCCAGGTCCGGTAGATAGTTTCCTGCAAGGTGACAAGTTCCCAGGTGCCTACTTTTCTTCTTCTCCGTCTGAGAGCTTTCTCTAACACTGATGATGCTTGCTCCTCCGCGTACACGCGGCCCAACCTGGGAGGACAGGGGCGTTGACCCCCCTAGGGGCATCCTTCACCCAAAGGGGGATGGGGGCTGTGCATAAGTGGCCCAGGCACCCACCCCTGCCAGGAGGGTTCTGAGAGTACAGGGTGGGATTGGGCCCAGCTGCCCAGACAGTAACCAACTAGCTAACATACCCTTTCTGCCACTTTTCACTTAGTTGACTTTTTCCCTTTATTTATTTCTGAACTCGGGTTTCCTGGGGTCACTTCCCAAGTAGACTACATGCACCCAAGTCCTCGACTCAAAAGTCAGCTTTTGGAGAACCTGAACGAAGAGATGGAATTAGGTAGAAATTTACCAAGCATTGTACCCAACAGTGAGAATGATCTTTCCTGGAGAAGTACACTCTGACATATGTACCTGGTTCTCTACTGAGAAGCTTTCGTGTGTTATTTCCTTTTCTATGAACTAATAATTTCTATGAACTAATAATTCCTTTACTCATTTTTCTCCTGGGTTGTTTTCTATTTTACAGAGATTAGCTCTTTCTCTAAGATATGACTTGTCTATATTTTTTCCCATTTTTATCATTTTGTCTTTGCTTAACGGTCTAATATTGACCAATTCTCATCCCCTGTCACAGATTCTGTCCCGAGCAGCTTTGTGGGGGAAAGAAGCTTCTCTGGAGTGAGGAGGCTCGGGATTGCTGCTCTGTGCCCCACATTCACTGGAAGACAAAGGCCCGAGTCAGCAGTGGAGAACCTACATGGTCCTTTCGGTAGCCTGCCTCAGCGTGCTGTCCCGAGGCTGCCCAGGGCCTGACCTGCTGTGCAGATACTGCCTGTCTTCTCCTGGCCCAGGAGGGAATTCGGATGACACGGGAGAGTCTGCCCCGGAGCCCCTTTCAGGCTCACAGCTGCTGTGGCTGCTCACAGACCTGCTCCATTTGCAACCAAGGGTGCTGCCGCAGCAGCCGGCGGGCCCTCTCCCTTGGCGCAGCCCCACTGGGTTTGGGGCTGGGGACTCAGCCATGCACTCCAGAAGGATCCTGCCATCTTCATAATGCTTCGTTCCAACACGAGGTTCTATCAGAGCCCAGTGCTGTAGAAGGATCAAGTAGCCTGCGTTCTGGGGAGCCTCCTGTCCCAGGGAGGCTCTCAACAGGTATCAGACAGCACACTCAACCTTGGATAATTCAGGAAGGGTTTCCCTCTGGAGCGGTTTACAAAATGTGGGCTAGAGCTATACCCTGGGGCCAGGAACCCTGGGGTTACCACCCACCCCTAACCCCAAGGGGAGGAGAAAAAGAGGCTATTTTGAAGACCTAAAAGAACAGAGTCATGGAGAGAGGGCTCTCTTAAGAGGAGCTGTGACCTTTGAAGGGGAATGTGTAGCCAGCTACAGGTGGTCCCTCGGGGAGAGAGCCCCCCGGGGAATAAGTACCCAGACTTCTCTCTCCTCTCTCCCTCTTCCAGCATCTGCTATGGCTCCCCATGGACCAACCCCAGCCAGAAGCCACTGGGTCAAGAGGGTGCCCTGGGAAGGAAAAATGCAACCCTCAACACCTGGACATTGGCCTGGTCCCAGTCTTCTGTTGAACATAAGCAATTACACGGGACAGCAACATCAGACAAGAGCATTTTGTCACTATGATGGATCGAGACGAGCACAAGACTACTCAGCAACTGTGTATGAATGTGGAGGAAAACACGTTTGGCAGGGACCAAACATCGCCCTAGGAGAGGCTTCGACAGACTGCTGAACCTTCACCAGTTCCAGCTGTAGCCTCCATTGATACGGTCTTCCTCCTACACCAGACCTATTAAGATACCTGCATAAAGAATGACACCTCCCCCACCTCCCTGGCAACATCCTGTCTAGGGCAAAGCCCCGCTTCCATGAGCCACCCCCCAAATTCCCTAACACAAGCCCAAACTCTATGCCAAGTCCTCTCGGACACCTTCTTCCAGAGACACCCCATAGTTTCCACCTGGCCCACATTCCCCTTCTGCCGCAGGTCATAAACACCACTTGCAGGAGGGTGCCTGGAGGCCTTTGGTGGGAGAGCCTGGAGGTCAGCCCCCCCCCCCGCCCACCGCCCCGGGCCCACAGCAGTGTGCACCTGGAGGGCCACAGAAGCTATCGGGAACAGAACTGAACCCAAAGCGCTGGGCACCAGTCACCGTGGGGACGTTTTCTTCTCCTTCCTCACCCTGCCCTTTGCCTTCCCTACTCAGACCCTGTGGAGTAACACAAGGAAGTTCTTGACCTGATACCATAGGGTCAGGAGGAGTTCTTCTTGGAGGAAAACCTCTCTTTCTCAAAGGCATCACAGAAACAGTTGGAAGGCGGTAGAGGCAGTTCCTAGGGACCAGCCAGGAGTGCTCCCATGTGGATTTGGAGCCCGAACTCTGCACTTGCCCCCAGGTCCCACCGAGACATGAGCAGAAGCCCCGGGAGGCCACTGTGGGGGCGGGGGGGTGGGGGTTGTGGATGTATCTCTGAGCAGCCAGACCATTTCTGGACACTGTTGCTTACTTTGTTATACTCTATCCTTCCATTCAGCCGCCTATTCATTCTTACTTGTGTATTTCAATCCTTACTTAATTTTTGGTTCATGCCTTTTAAAGTAAGTGGCAGGCATCAGTGCACTTTCCCCTGGATACTTCAGCTCACCTGTCAAGAACGCAGTTACGAGGGGCGCCTGGGTGGCTCAGTCGTTGAGCGTCTGCCTTCGGCTCAGGCCCTGATCCCAGGGTCCTGGGATCGAGCCCCGTGTCGGGCTCCCTGCTTCTGCCACTCTGCCTATCTGTGCTCTCTCTCTCTGTGTCTCTGTCAAATAAATAAAATAAAATCTTAAAAAAAAAAAAGAACGCAGTTATGAAATGCTCCATCTTATTAGGATGGAGAGTCTAATCCTATTAGATAACCAGGCTCCATCTTCAATATGGTATTTGAAATACGTGTAGGAGTAACTTTCAGTTGTCTGCCCTAAAATGATCAGTGGGTTATTTTTACCTGCGTATCCGTAGCTCCTAAATGCCTGGCCGTTCCTGACATTATTGACAGTCTGGCTCGAGGTACCTGGCCCCATCCAGGAAGAATCAAAACTGCCTCCAGGAGGGCTTCTGGAAGCAGGAGGGCTCTAGAACTTGCGCTCCCTCCTGTCCGTTCCCCGGCACCTGCTGGGAGAAGTGCTCCTCAGGAAGGGACTAGGTGTTCTTGAGGACCCGAGGGCCCCACAGATCACTCGAAGAATGACAGGCATAAAATCATGAAACTGTGAAGGACTGAGGACAGGCATGGGGTTGAGTTCAGAGACACAATAAAATAGGAGTGGGCATGGCGTTACAGAGGAGTGAGGAAGGACGAGTTAGCTCGGAATGTAAAAATCTGCCCTGCCGGTGAGCAGGCTGGGAGAATAGACATGTTTCCTAAAGCCAACTGCATAGTTAACGGGAGATACTGTTTCTCCCACTGTCACGCTGCAGCCACAGAGACGCAGACAAGCCCCTTCTCTGAGGGCTTCCTGCTTTCTTATCGCTGGGAAACGTGGTCTTTAAAATTCACAGGCTACCAAAAGCTTCATGCTCAAAATCCTATCAATGAGAATGAAACATTCCATTCTTGCCTGGAGGATCCACATTAGTTTGACACAAAGAACCAAACTAGATGCTAAACTTCAGGCAAGTCCCCGGAAGGCTCATTTCTCCCCACCCCAGCCCTCCCAGATACTGCCTAACAGAGACACCAAAGCGCCAGACTTGTTGATAAGGTCACATGCTCTTGGCCTGGGCACCTTGATTACCCGGAGAATGTCACCAAATTCCTCTGATGTCATTTGCATCAGGGCTATTTAAGGACGGACTCCTAAGCTGGGGAAAGCAAGGAAACTTTTGCAAACACTGCCTCGCTGAAGAATGATTGCTATTTCTATAGATTCTAGAACACGGAAAGTATATAAATTGCTTAGAGTATTGCTAGCTGCTGTAACAAGATATTCCAAAGTGTCAGGGGCTTAATTCAACAGTAATTAATGTCTTGCTCACATAATTGTCAGTTGCTTCTGGTTGGCAGGTAGGTTTTGTGGGTGTGACCCCTTTCACCTGTGAGCCTCCATCCCTGACAGCAGGGTCCTCCACATGTGGCCAGAAAAAAGAAAGTGGCCCTCTCCTAAAGGCTTTGGCCCAGAGGTGACACACCTCACTTGCACCCATATTCTGTTGCTGAGAGTCAATCCATGGACCGCCCCCCCGCCCCGCTCCAGCTGCAAGAGATGCTGGGAAATGTCTTCCCTCGCTGGACAGCTAATCACCAGAGATAATTCTGTACTCTGGAAGGAAAACATGAATTTTGGTGGATAAGTTCCTCCGCCTCAGTGGGGAAAGCTGTTTTTATTCAGAGGAGACCTGAGAAACAAGCCCCATTTTAGAGAACAGATAAACCTTGACAGTCTTTTCTGCTTTGTTTTTGTGTTTGTTTGTTGTGGGGCTGTTGTCAGCCAAGAGAGAGGTACTCTCCAGAAATGTTGGTCTCAGCTCTGGGGATGGTAATCTCTGGGAGAGTCCGAAAGCTTGCATGGGCTCATCCATGCACGGAATGAAGCACCTACCTTTAGCCCCTATTTCTGTTTGTTTTAAACACAGACTGTCCTGAGGCCAATTTGTGGAATTCGAGAAGTCTTGACTTCAGGATATCCAGTCTCCTCTGGGTACTCAGTTTCAGATGCCCAGGGCCTGCTGACTTCTTAACCCTATCCCTTATCGGATGAGCTTCTGTAAGGTGAGGCTTCTTGTTTTTCGCACTGGCATACT